AAAAAAAAATGCACCTACAAGAGCAGGTAATCTAAAAAGACATTTGCAACGTCTACATCCTAAAATTCTACAAGAAGTAAATGAAAAAGATAACAGTAGAAACACTTCATCTATTTTAAAATTAGAAAATATCCAAAAATTAAGTTCAGTACAAACACAAGTATGCAAATTCTTTGCTTCGGATAAAGTTACAGTAACAATGACGGGTGCAAAATTTAAAAATCTGATAATTGAAATGGTGGTGCAAGATAGTGTGCCTTTAATCTTTTTTTCACGGCCAGCCTTTTTAGGCTTAAACGGTGAAATGGCGAGAAAACTTGGAGTTTCACTAGATAGAGAAAACATCAGAAGGCTTATAATTGAAGAGGCTGTTTTGAAAAAAGATGAACTCCGGAAAAAACTGAAGGATCGCTTGATATTTATTAAAATGGATGCATGCACTCGTCATCGAGTGAATTATTTTGCAATTAATGTTCGATTTATTGATGAGAATAATACAATTGTTACGAAGACATTAGCAGTAAAAGATACTATGGCTCATCACACAGGAGAGTATCTGCAGAAGTTGGTTCAAGAGGTATTAGAAGATTTTAAAATTAAAAAGGAGAATATTTTGTGTATTGTAACAGATAATGCTTCGAATATGTTAAAAATAACTGAGAAAATGAATCAAGATAATGAGATTCCATTAGAAGACATTCATGAAATATTCTCCATTGACACACAAATCGAGCCTATAATAGAAAAAGAGGAATATTTAGATGATATTGTGGAGGAAGCGTCCAATATGTTTCAAATCCAGCATATGCGATGTGCTGTTCACACGTTGCAATTAGCAATAAGAGATGGATTAAAAGACTCTCAGGTAGCTAAAATCATTACAAAATTAAGACAAGTAGCTACTGTAGCTAGAACCCCTAAAATAGATGCTATTCTGAGAAGGCGTGCTAGAAAAGGAATTATTTTAGATCAACCCACTCATTGGGGAAGCACTTATTTAATGGTTAAACGGTTGCTCGAATTGAAAACCTTCCTTGAAGACCTTGACAATCCAAGTGTTTTATTAACTGAAAACCAATGAAAACAAACAGAAAAATTAGAGTGTCTTGTCCTACCCTTATACTGTTACCCTAAAATTACAAGCTGAAGATTTCACACCTGGAAATTTTTTCTTACAGTGGAAAACTTTGATGCATCAGCTTGACAAAACTGGAGGAATTGTTGCTAATGTGATTTTATCTTCAATGAGAAAAAGAGATTCAGTTGTTAGACAATAAAAATCTTGTTAGCCGCTATTTACGTTGATCCAATGAATCGAATTTTACTAAATGACAATCAAATTGCCTCGGATAAAGAAAAGCTTCATGAAATTGCTATTCGCTTGAAAAAAGGTTGGGAACCACTGGTTTAGAACATTTCAAAGCGAAGCGAAGACGTTTAACAAATCAAGAAACTAACCCGACAGAAATTGAAAAAATAAAATTTGAACAAAATTTTTTAAATGGGCTAATTGAAATAGAAAAGTATGACCGTTTTTCAAAATTGAATGTAGAAGAAGCTTATTTCAATTTATCCAGAAATTATTTGCAATGCAGCTAGATCTGTCACAGCAATGCTCCCAACACAAGTCAGTGTGGAAAGATTATTTTCAGCTTTGAAAATAATTAAAGCTGATTTAAGGGCATCTATGAAGGAAGATTTAATTGAAGCTATTTTGTTTTTTAGAACCATTTTATAAAATTCAAAATTATAAATGTAATTTAGTTTTTTTTATTTAAGTGAAAATATAAAATAAATTTTCTTATTAATTTTTTAAAATGTTTTGTATTTTGTTATAATTCATTTATTTTAAATACAAAATGCAGCAATTTAATTTATTAAATATGTAGTTTTTGTTGTAGTATTTGTGTTTAGTATCAATAGTTAATTTAATCCTTATCACCTCATCCAATGCCGACACTGCTCCGTGTAGCCGTGCTCGGGGAAATTCCAAAGTCATTGGGTTAAATCTACTAATATTACATAAAAAATTCATATAAAATCAAATTTTTGTATTAAATTATTTTGACCCAATTGAACTTGAATATTTTTAAATCATTCTTTTATTATCTCTGCTCTAAATAAGTATTCTATTTTTCTGAATGAGCCAGACTAATTGATCAGAGTAGGTACATATTTTTCTTTTCTGAACAAGAAGCTGAAATAACTAGATTGCACACTTTTTAGTTGGACTAACTTTTCTGCAAGGGTAAAATTGAAGTGCATATGCTGTAAAATAAAGATATGTAAATGTAGAATTTTATTGCTCCTTTTCTCCTCTTATTAAATATTTGTTAAAAATACATTAATATTTATTTGTATAAAAAAAAGTTAAATATCAAAAATACTAACTATAAAAGTACTGTATTTGGGTAAATGCCCGGGGCTCATTTCACAGTTCAGAGTAGGGTACCTCCCTATGAGCGTTTCTGCTCCCATATAATGACTTTGTATTTAATTTTGCCGGAGTCGGCCTACTAAAATTATCTGGAATCGGATTTTTTTTACCGACTCCGCAGCCCTGAAACATCCAAAGGAGTGTAACTGCATTGCTGCAGGCAAATCTAGTTGAAGCTTTCCAGCACTGCTATGAAGACTGACTCTGCTGATGTATAACTGCCCGAGGGAACTACTGTACTTTGAAAGGGATAACATTAATGTTTAAAAATAAAATATTACTTTTAAAAAATCAATTTTTCAAAAATATTTCCTCAAAATTGATGAAAACTTTATGGGTTAATTGTACATAAATAACCACCGTTTTTTTTCCTGGACCGCATCTAAAACTTAAAACAGGTTAGTTTATACACACATGCATTTCAGTTATAATGAAGATAACACTCAAATTTTTTACTTGAAATATCATCAATTATTAGAATTAATGTCAATAGATTAAACTATTTTAATGCATAAACAAAACTGCAAGAATTGATGAAAACTGTCATTCCTTCAAACTGTTTTATCAGTAGAAAAATTAAGTGCTCTGAAATACAGTAGATAAAGTGATCTCGAAATAAAATCTTTGTTATTAAATAATGCTGATTTGCACAACTTAGAAACAATATTGAAAGAATACTTAATTCATATTATAAAAATATGTAATTAATAAATAATTACATATGTTTATATCATTGTTACTTTGACATAACATTATATATATCATCTCAATTCTTCTAATTTAGTTTTTAAAACATTTTTCTTTAATATAATGCTTAGCAATACTACATTACAGAAATCAAGTGGTGAAGTTAACATGGAATCAACAAGTAATGAAGTGTTACATGTTTCTGAATTTTCATTAACCGTTGAACATCAAGTTGATGAATATATGAAATCTGATATTGTAAAAGCAGCAATTGAACCTGGAAATTTCCCTTCTCATATGATTAGAGAAGTTTTATTAAGAAGAGTACAAAATGGTGATGGAAACTTTGAGAATTCAGATGAGTTATGTGAAATAGTACTAAATTTACAACAAGAAATGGAAAATAATGCAAGGTAATTGAAGAGTGGGTTTTGATTATAATTATTTTTTTTTATAAATTTATTATACCATGTTTAAATTTTTCTTTTAATTTAAACCTGGTATGAATCATCCAAATTTTCTTTTTTAATGTTTCATTTTTTATGACAATCTGAAAATCTAGCATCTGTTGTAATAGTCATGTTCATTTTAAAAGAGAAATGAATTCACAATAATTATACTTTCATTTTAAGTATAAAACTAAGTATTTGTGGTAAAATTCTGAGAAGGATGATTGCCCCAACATTAGTTTTTGGATAAAGGCATCATTATAAAGCAAATTAGCTTTTCTCCTCCCACACTTGCCTGTATAAGTCTAGAATCATATTTATGCATCATTTATCAAGTGCACAAAAATGCAAAAGTAAAATGTTTTAAGAAGTACAGAATCATATTGCTGACCATACCTCTCAAGCAAGGTAAGCAAGCATTAAAAACAATACTTGAGCATAATTGAAAAGTGCTTTAAAGTGAGGCATGCTGCTGTACAGATTATTATTAATATTGATTTGTGTATTGATTGTAATATAGCAATAAGATTCAAACTTATATTGGATGATGATAAATTAATATATTGTATAATAAATACCCAGGAGTTTAATTTCTTTCTCCCACCAACTTATAAAACTTTGATTATATATATATAATCAAAGAATTCATATATATATAGTGAAATTCGGATCGAATTAAACGAGTTTAAATCGTTTAAACAACAAAATTAATAAATTAAAACATTTATTTAAAACAAAGAAACCTCCATTTCTACGCGCTATCGAACCTTTTTCGGGGGCGGATGTTCGTCTTCCCATCCCCGGAGTAACTTCCTTTCCCTCCGAAACCCAAATCTGAATCAACAGGATCTTATCCAAAGAAATCTATAATTGGTGTAAAGAGATAACGTGATACAAGATCTACCGAAGATATAAAAGAGAGGTCGACTTTGCCGTCCGTGAACAGGTCCGTCATCTCCCGTCGAAGACCGTCACCCGCCGACCCACCCATCCAGCTGCTCGTCGATCCCGGAGGAGACTTCCCCAGAAGACCTACTGGAGAGAAGTTCAACCTCTATCCGAATTTCTATCTGTACTAGCCATTGAATTCAACAGAGGTATGAAACCCCAAAGTATTGTAAACTCTCTCTCGGCGCGGCCCTTCCAACTCCGCGGAAACGATATTTAATCTCTTTTGTTAGTCTCTAGTTTTGTCTAATAAATGTTTGTTTTGTTGTTAAAAAGTATATTTAATTCGAATATTGGCTACACCTCACCGACGGCCCCTCTCTCCTCCTCCACTCGACTTAACAGAAAGAGTCCCGACGTCACGGGATATAAAATTATTCTACACGTCATCCCCTGACCAGTGGGCAGTTCTCACCGAACTGTTGCCTATCTAAAAGAGGTGCGAGTTCGTCCTACCTCAGGCTACCCACAATATGTTTCAAGTATCTTTAATCTCTCTTTGGAAAAGAAAAAAATGAATGTTTCTCTGGGAATCAAATAGAATGTTCAGATAAATTGTGTACAAAATAAAATAAAAAAGCATAAAATAAAGTCAATGAGGATTATTAACAGCATGTTTATAAAATTAAAATGAGGGATGTTATTTTAACAGAACTTCATTGTGGCTAACTAGTGTTCTAGTCACTTCCAAGATCATAAGTTGTCTGAGTGTACAGTTGATTATTAGTTTCTAAGCTTCTCTTATAGATCCCATATAAATTTGACAGTTAGGTGGTTGGTTCCAAGATAGAAGAGGCTCATGTGTTTGTATTTTGCTCCATTCGATGTTAATTTGCATCTAGCAGTGTTTGCAATGTTTGTATTTATTTATTTGTCTATTTGATGATTGGAAATTAGTTCTTTGATGTATCATGCTGTTATCTCAATATATTCTGAAGAGTATGGGATTGTATTTTTGGGAAACAAAATAAAACTCATTAGTAAAAATATAAGTAGTTCAATATATGTACTGGTAAATTCAGATAGATGTAGTTTTTTAAAGTCAATTATTTATTTGTATACTCATGTTTATTTACATTTTTATATATTAAGATGTTTTTAAATAACTGAAACCACTTTACAGTTTATCTTATTTAAAGAACTTTAAAGTAATAAATTAAAAATCATATCATAGAACTATGCTGGACAGTTTGGCAATTTGTCTTAATCCATAATTCCTAGACTACAGTAGTGATTTTGTCAAGTGATATTTTAGTTGACAAATGGAACATTCTATTTGAATGAGAGTGCTTGTACTGGCCATTGTTTTAATCACTACAACTGAAAATTTACGATATGCCCTATTTTTTATGCAATGAAACTTCTGCTTTTTGAAATAGAGAAAAAGAAAATTTAATATGTCATTGAGCACTAAAGATTTAGTTGTCAACTCATCAGTAAGTTGGCAACGAAACAATTGTTAGTACATTTATTTTTTGCATTTGGAGTCAAATTTAACTGTTAAACTTAAAGCATTTTACAAATTGATCATTTTATCAGAAAATAGTTGATAAATTAGAGCCTTTTTGGTAGGGTTGCAATCTGTTCTATTGTGTATTGGAATTCTGTAGACTGTTCATATCCAAAGATGTATTCTCTTTACCATTCTATAGGGTGAAGTTCTTTATATACTTCATTAAAGCATAGGTCATAATTTGTTGTTTAGTTGTTGAGGTTCTAACATATTAACAGTATTATTTATTTACTCTCATCTATAGCAATGAATCAACAAATATTGATGAAGAACCTATGGAAGTAAACAAAGAAATGAATGTTACAGTTAGACCTTCAACAAGTCCTTCCGAAGATGTTCAACCATCATGTTTTTCTGTTTCTGGACAAAGTACTAGTGGATCTGCTTCTATGGATGGTAAACTTTTTAAATTATATATCAAGCATTTAAGACTTTTAAATGATTTTTTCTTTGGTGTTTTGATTGTTATGAGTTTAGTGATGTAATTTTAGTATAAATCAAATTATAATTTATTACTGTAACAAGAAATAAGTATCAATAATGATTTCTAAACAGAGTTCAAATATTGCTTTCTCTTTGAAATGTTAAGAAGTATATTATGATACATTACATGCTAAGAAAAAACATTAGTTATGTATAGCTTCAAAAGTAATATATTTATA